ACAAGAAATTCAAGCTTTCCAAAAAGTGTTTTCAGCGGTAATAAGGCTGAAATTTCCTTTGTACGTTTATGGGAACCATACTTCGTTTTCCATGCTCAGGTAACATCAGCAACATCACCTTACCATGACGAGATGTAAAGAAGTAACAAACGGCTAACGATTTCCCTATTCTTTGAAATAAGACGATCTAATTTTACGTTCAGGGTCATAAATCACCAAAGTGTCCGTTGGTATACACGTGTCTGTATGTGTATAGATACCTTAAAATACCCTAACCTGCCCAACGATCTCGTCATTTCGTGTTTTCTTCTACTCTATTTTATAGCTGTACGTATGTATATACATTTGTAGATTGTACTAAATAGTTAATATAAATTAGTACAGAAAAACATTTAAGTATATATGTACGGGTATACACATACACATATGTGGCAATTCGCTGGCTGACCGACTGACTTTTTGGCTTTCTGCATGAACTTTTTTATCTTTTAGATTTCCGCAGCTCCAGTTTTACATAATGTATGTATGTATGTATGTATGTATGTATGTAAATAATACTGTCAGCATTTCTATTTTCTATTCAAATTAAAATGACCTAACTAAACGCAGCCGCAACACATCACCTCACCTTCATCCATCATCTTCCATTTAGCGCATACATAAATTCAAATCTCTAAGAGCATTCAAAAATTTGCTTACAACAACAATAGCTAAAAGAATGCCAAATGGAACGCTTGCCTCATTAATTGTCTCAGCTCCAAGAGTTTCTTCGTAAATAGCCATCAAGTGTCTGTCTTTTTCTCTGCTTGTCAGACAGTGCGCTTGTGGCTTACGTGAATTGTTGTTATTGTTGCATTCTTGCCTTATTTGATTTGAAGTGTTTGGTTGACTCTCCATTTTTTATATCTCGTATTATTTTTCCCCTTTGCAGTCGCAGTCACAGTCGCAGGCGCAGTCTCAGTTTTAGTATTTTTGTATTTATTGTTTTTCTCTTTTGTTTTATTTTTCTTTTATTTCCTCCACAAATATTAGTCTTTTGTTTTATTTCTTGTTTTTTTTTTCTACTCTTTAAGAAAGTTTCTGCCGAAAGTTGCATCGTGGCTCAGCTCCCTCGCTTGGATTCATTGTCTAAGGGTTTTTGTCTCTAATTTGCCGTTAAAGGCCGGAATGGCATGCAAACAATGATTTAACGCAGAAACACCAACGCTTTTTCTTTTTGAACTTATTTTTAATTTCTTTTTTTTTAACTTTTTTATTTATTTTATTTATTTTATTTATGTATTTCTTTAAAGCGCCACAGACAGACAAATTGGCAATCGTGATGTTGTTTTCTTGCTTAAGTCTATTGTTTCAAGTTTTTGCTTTGCTTTAAATCGGTACTCAAGCGACGCGACGAAAGCTTAGAAAGTCAAATAAATGTTTACCAAGTACAATATATAAATAATATATTGGTAATTGTTTAGGGAAAAAATCTTGCCTTTTTCAGACGTGTATGTAGGTCTGTGCAGATTTCTGCTTTGCTACATTTTTTGTTGTTCTCTTAATTTGTTTTTTTTTTTTTTTGGTTTTCTGTTTTTTTTTATGCAAAGATTTTCGTCTGGTTTCTTGCCTAATTAGTATCTGAATATAGTAAATAATGCTAATGAGCAGTAATCGACGTTTGGTAATTAGTTTGTAGAAGGAAAATTACGCTTGCCGTTGTCGAAGGTTCTCACATTGCTACGAACGAGATGGGAAAATAATGAAAGGGTGAAACCATCAGGAGTAGTTGAAAAAAAGTGAATAATTTTTGCTTGTTCCTCTTATTTACATTTATTCCAGCAGATCCGGCCAGACGCTGTTGCGGCTTTCTGTGTTTTGAAGATTTTGTTTTTTTTCATTGAAATAGCAAAGAATGGCAAAAACCCCTTAAAAAGCATCATATAATACCAAATAATAAGTTCTAAGACCTACTGAAATATTTACCAAAAGCCGTTTCGGAGGAGTCACGGTGTCTAACACGTATAAAATACTCATATAGATAGTGACGTGCAACTTGAGTGGTGTGTTGTGTGTGTGACGGGGGCATAAAATTGATATTCCGAGAAGTGGGTCTGGGAAAAAATCATATAAATGACTCGATTTTTCTTAATATGTGGATCATACACGTGTATGTACATAAGTGTCTCTTTACCTAAGTTAATATTGAGATTTTTTTTCTGGAAATGAAATGGGCCTGTGACTAATCTGTTCGAAATATTACTCGTATTGGGGTAAGAAAAATTCTTATATTTGTATAAGTATATGTAATATATGTATAAGTGTTCAAACATTTCATAGTAATAATTGATACGCTGTAATAAGATAATTAACTTAAAAACACTTTTAAAAAGTCTTATTAAAATCATTTTAAACTTCCATGCAGACTGGGTCGCTACCAAAATCTAATATAAAAATAAATAATAAATATTTGCAACCGCTGATGTGTTTTTAGGTTATCTTAAAGATGAATGAATTTGTTAAGAAAATCAGAGTTCTCTAAAAAATGCATGAAAAGGTGAATTTAGGAGTTCCACCAAATAGACAAAGAATGACAAATACTAAGTTAATAAAATATTTTGAAGGATATGGGTTTGGAATATTTTCCAAGTAGTGCATTTAAATGTAGCAGAGCCTTTGATTACTGTTCAGACGTAAATCCTTTTTCTTTAATCGTTTTGGGGTAGTTCGGTTGAAATATATTTTAGCTAGAAAGTTTGGAAGGTAAGATAAGCTCAATGAGCAATTTTAAGTTAATTTTTCTGTTTTCCTGCTATGGCGTTAATCACGAGATCCCGATTGTGTTCGTAATTCACATTTTTTTACATACCAAGGGGCCGATTTTAAACTGTATCCTTTGAATTCCATTTAGGCTAGATTAGATGTGAAGCCCCAACGTTGGATCCAGCACGTCGGCGATGACTTTATAAGCATATTAAAAAGGAATACTTTGTTTTCTAAGTTTGGAATAAACATCTATAATCCAATGCAAAATTTTTTAAGCGAAAGTTTTCCACATGAAGTCTTTATTTTAATCGATAGTGCGGCCCATATAATTTAATGTTTGAAGATCATTATGCAAATGCTGACCGGGACTGCGCCTCAAATGGTCTATCATGGCATACTCTTTCCAGCTTTTCTGTATAGACATTAAATTTAACATAGCCCCAAAAAAAATAGTCTAAGGGCGTTAAAGCGCACGATCTAGATGGCCAATTGACCGGTCCCGAAATTCAAATAAAATGTTCACCGAACTCGTTTCTTAATAAGTCTATTGTTACGCGTGCTGTGTGGCATGTGGCACCGCCTTGTTGAAACCACATGTCATGTAAGTCAAGCTCTTGCATTTTGAGCAAAAAATAGTTTGATAACCATTCACAGTTACGTTACGGTTCGTCCATAAACCGCACTAAACTGTGACTTTTTCTGGATGAACTTCCTTAGCAGAGCACGCATTTTGATAATAAATTTCAATAATTTGCAAGCGTTCTCCTTTTGTAAGACGATTCATGGTTAAATTATAGATCAATCTGAACATGTTTGACAGTGATAAAAAACACGAAACGTGAGTCCGCTGTTTAAGCCGCAACACTGGCAAAAAGATAATAGCTAAAAAATCACCCTTTACAAGGGCTTTTAAACACCAGCAAACATCTCACAGGATTCTGCTGTGAAACTTTTTTACCTAACCCAAGTAAATAAAGAAGCTTTTCAGTATGCCATGAATTTCAGCTTGCAGAGTAGTCCAGTAGTCCAAACACTATTAACTGTCTGAGTAAAATTCTTTTCCTTAATGCCATTGGCAATAATTCCTCAAAGAGTCTTAAAATTAAATCGAATAAAAATGTCATCTAAATTTTCACGAAACTCCGGAAGATAATCCGAAGGACTGGTTATCAAACTTGTAATATATTTACTCCTGAGGCCATTGAAAATTTGTCTTCCTCTAGAGGAAAATTAAATAATATTGGAAAGCTTTACTTGTCATTATAAAAGGTCATAGAACAAATCAAAGGGAATTTGCGCAAACGGACGCGGTAACACTCGCTTCTTGGACAAAGCAATAGATTTGCTCTCTACGTGCTTTTGAATATTGCTGAATTTGATATCGCTTTGTAAGAACGAAAGAAATTTATTACAAATAAAAATCCAAGCCACTTCTAGGGTTTGGAAGTGCAGGCAAGTTAGGAAGACTTAATAGGCCCTTAAAAAGAGGAGAATTACCTTGATCTTAGCGAAAACTTTTTAATGTGGATATTTGCTATTGATAAATTGCTTTGAGCCAATAACACAAATTTTTTTTTACGAAAAGCATAAGAAACTGTAGCAAAAGTGTGGAAACTCAGTTTATACAAAATTTTTTATTATTGAAAAATTGTCTTCTTCGTATCTGATTTTAAACAGAAATTTACAAGTTTAACAAAAACTATTTAATTTCGTTCTTATTTAAAATCTAACTAAAACACACATATTCACAAAGAAAAATATGAGCAATTCTCTCAGATCTTTAATGAAGTCTTAATACTGAAATTTGCAAACTCTTTATGCCTAAAGATATGAAGGACAACTAGATACAATGTTATGAGATTGAACTCAACCATACAACTCCGTGTTCTCAGAGAGTTTCAGTACAGTTAATTCCAAGCTACATCCGAATGGCTGATTTCTATGAGGCCCTCTTACCTGATGTCAGAAACATACACAGGTGGATTGAAACTCCCTGCAGAGGACAAGGGACGGCCGCGATGGGAAAATTAATTTTTCAAATAATTTTGAATGTTCGGTATAGGTTCTTGCTTAATGATCGAAATGTGGAGATTTCACTTAGCACTTCTCAGTATATTTACAATATTTAGCTGTTCATCACAAATCTAATTCGGTGTTTCGAACAAACATACGTATTATCTATGCTTCTTTTTTTAAACACGTAAAATTATTCAATAACTACTTGATGTCGGGTAATATACAACCTCTCCTTGCAGCGAAAACTTACCGTATTTACCAGCCAAGTGTTTGCTGCTTTCAGCAACAGCTCTGCTCAGCTTGTCCTTCACCAGCATTGACGACGACGCATCAGAGACCGCGCTGTCACCGTCACCGCTAGCCCCACTATTGCTCAGGCTCTCCGGCACCACTTGCATGCCATGGACGCGAGCTATTTTCGCTGAACGCATGCGCAATAATCCTTTCGTTCCACCGTCGCCGGCAACAGCAGCACCGGTTAGCACCTGCAGCAGGAGGGCAACAACAAAGAAAATGCTGTAACCAGCTGTGGCATAACGACGGTCAACACATTCGCCGCCGGCGTGTTTTTTCGCCGATCTACAGCAGCTGTGCAACTGCAATAATGAAGTTCTGGACCGAAAGCGCATTTTAGATGTTCCAGCGAAACGAAAGAGCGGTGTAATGACAAAAACGCGGTGTAGAATAATTTTTAAATTTTATTCTCTTGTTTTATTTGACTATTTTATTATTATTTTTAGCAGTTTACACTTTGAATGGGAATTAAATTGTGAAAAGCTAAATATTATTATAATAAATTTGTAAAGAATTGCTTTGTTGATTTTACAAAATGTTTTTGCCACACAAAGAAGCGTCTAATGAGCGCGACACTTTCTACCAACGCCAGTAGAAGCGAAGACAAGTCACTGGTGTGGTGGGTGTGGGTACATAACCGAAGAACAACGCGCTGGTAGCGATTTATTACCTCGCTGGCTTGCAAGCGTGGAAAGTGTTTGACGGAGAGTCTGACTCAATTACAATCAGTCAAAGAATAAACAATCTTTTACAGCACACGACCCGAACTATTCTCAAAACACTCTTTATTTTTAAACACACTTTCCACTAATAATTTCCTTTCGTTTACTATTCGCCTCCGCCGTAAACACACCCGTTCTCTTACCAATCCGGTAAACAACTGATTTTGGCTATTCAGCTGGCGACTGCATCACGGCATGGCGAAGACCAAAGTTATTGCCGGCAAGACTTGATAAGCTCAGCCAACGAGTGTTGATGACAACGTATTTGATTCTTCTACTCGTATTGTTGTTGTGGTGCAAGAATTGATGCCGGTTTAATGGCCTTCTGTCATTGCCAAGGCTGAGCCGTGAGTTCGAGTGCGCAGAATGCGGCGCTGAGTGGAGAACAGCGAGAGAGAAATACAGACAAAAGACAAAAGAGTCAACAAAGCTTTCACTCAAGTCATTCGCAAAGTGAGTGCATGAGTTGAGTGTTTTGAGCGGCAACACAACTGACCTTTAAGCGATGCGATGCTAACATTGTATGGCTCTTCAAATAGTTCAAAAAAAAAAAAAAAAAAACATGTGGAAAGAATGAAAAAATGCAATGAAACATAGCGTTGACCTTCTGCAGTTGTAAGGAATGAAACAAATAATTGTATCTGTGTGAGTAATCCATAAAACTTTTTAAGGCTATTGTTGTTTTGCGAATTATTTTCGGTCAAAGAACTCTTCCATTAGATTTGGCTGCGCTTGTTTGCGAAATGGCGACTAATTTAACATAATTAAGGCTATAAAGAGCAAGATGTAGAATGCTTATGTTTTTTAGTTGTAAAATTCTTACTACAGCTGAGATTGAAGAGCAGCAGGAACACAGTGGTGCTATGTGGCCACATTGACAACTTTAGGCTATAAAAGGTTCTACGCACCACCCTTTCAGTGATCTAATTCCGTTCAGAGTAAGAGATAGAAATAAAGAAATATTGGATGAACCGTAATTTAGATTAGTTTTTTTTAACTTCAAATTTATTTACATGTAGTTCTAAAGCACCCCTGCCGCCAATCCTCGAATAGAGAGAATAATGAACAACTTAGGTTTTATAGACACTTTCAAAAGAAATATTGTTGCCATATAATTATTAGTAAATGTCACAAAAATGATAATTGTAACAATATAACAAATCTAAATACACCGAAAAAAAAATTAAATAGAAATAATTCTGTAAAATCGATTAACCTGCTTAATCTCCGACTTCCATCCCACTAAGAACTTCTGAGAGTTTAGGATTTCGAGAAATTATAGCGTAAATTATAAGGAAAGGAATGTATTGTTCAAGGAGGTCTAAGAAACCGTGCTCAACATATTGCTGGAAGTTATAAATAACCAGGTTTATCTGTTGCCAATAAATTAAAATATTTAAAATTATTTTCACTATTCAGTTTTGTTAACTTTAAGTTGTAGATAGCTTCACCTACCTTGGAAATAACATTAACAACAACAACATTGTCAGCCCAGAAAATCAACGCAAAATCACTCTTGCCCACACTTTGGACTAAGTACCAGGGCCCAAACCCAGGCATTCTAAATGGTAGTACGTAATGCTGATTCCTCGGATATTATTACCGCCTCTGTATTAAAAATTTTTTTTTGTCATCATGCCGTAAGCTAAAACGTACCTTGTTCGACGAAGCTTTTCAACAAAGCTACACAAAGCTACACAAAGCTATCCCTAGAGTCGTCGGTCATTTACCGGTTACTTCCGACAACATCGTTATCAGCAACGATTGGGCGACATACTGAGTTTACCAAGACAGTCGCCGACTCTCCTTGCCGTTGGAAGGATCAGGTGGACAGTGACCTGGCCTCAGACAGCGAAAGGAAGAAAAAAATTGATGATTCGCAGATAATCACAAGAGAGATCAATAAAGAAGAAGAATAATTTAAAAATTTTCCAAATATAGGTATTTTCATTACTTCAAAGCACAACCAGCTTGGCAACCACCTTGCTCATTTGAGTCTGCAGTCATTAATAAAATAAAAATTTCATATAACTTACTAAAAAAAATATAAACATTTAGAAAAATTTGCATTTTTATCTTATTCCTGATATATTTATCTTTTTTATACAAACACACAGGCACACACACATACACCTGTTGAAATATGCAACTTTTATTGCAAAAATTCGTTATCGCAAATCCGGCCTCACCCATGAGTTATGAAAAAGTAAAAAACAAAAATTAAAAAGAGCAATCAAATATGTTTGTGAAAACGGCGAAAAGCGAATTTGAAAGTAAAAAGCAAACACCGTAAAATGCAAACACTTAGGGTAAAAATGAAAAATTTCGCACAAAAGAGGCTTAAATGATGATGATGACCAATTTTGCTGTTCACATTATTGTTCTTCTTTCTTTTCCCATAAATTGGTAACAAGCCGTTTAACGCTTCCAATCGAATGGCGAGTAAAGTGGAGTAGCGCATGGCTGGCGGCTGCTGGCTGCTGACTGCTGGCTGAAGGTGGCGAAAAAAGAATTGTTGTGGGTTATATATTTGAAGCTGCAGTTGATTGCCACCAATTCAGTGTATATAATGACATAATTATAAGCCCTCGCTTGTCTGTGTTTGACAGGTTGGTGAGTGATTGAGTTGTGGTGGCGGTTGGCGGTTGGCGGTTGCTAGTTCATGGTTAGCGAGTGGCGATATGTAATACCGGGAGCTAAAGACATTAGTGCAAAATAAGAACCTGTGAAGAATTATAATGAAGGCATCGAAACAAAATTTTCCTTGCGCTTTTCAGCCATGAAATAATGCTAATATACGAAAGCCATTCGAAAGTGCTCACTGCTGACTGCCGCTGGCTTTACAAGAACCACAAAAAATTAACGAAGAAATATTAAAAATGTACGGCTGATATTTTCTCACTAATCTAGACACACACATTTCTAAGGCTAATTTTTAAATGCGTACATTGTTGCTTGCTACACAGAGGTTCACTGCACATTTCATTTTAATTTCATAGAAAAAATGTTTGTCTCATTGAGAAAACAAATAAATATTGTTTTTATTTAAATTTTAATCTCATTTAATATCGCATTAAAAGTTTTGCTTGTCGGTTATATTTCAAAGCTCCCCGATTTATTGTTTCATTATGACTTGATTCAATTAGTCCAAACCTAAGATTACAGTCCTTTAGTTTCGTGAAGAGGCAACACCATTGTAAACAGCAAAGAGCCTCTCTACAAAATTTTTTCATAATAATTTATTATTCTTTAATTTTAAGCACTATTATAGTTCTCTTCCACTAAATATTTCCAGTTCACCACACCAGAGCAAAAATCAAAACTAAAAAAAAAAAAATAAAGATACGAAGAAGAAAGAAATATTAAATATCTTATTACCCTTGTCTCCCAACGTTTCTACCAAAAAAATCTCTAAAGAAAGCTTAAGGTTTTTGCTAGCTTTCAATAGGCCGCTAGTAAGCACTGAACTACCGTTGAGATTGCGTAATGATTCATGGGCCAGAACGAATGAAGCAAAGGCGTCCTGTTTTACCGCCTTAAATACGACCCCTGTGGGTTAGGGGCTCAAGAATTTACCCGTGGTAAGGCATGCCTGTCTCGGAGGCGACTAAAATCCAATAGTTTCCGCGACAGTCGGATCTTTATACCGGAACGACCCGGATTTTTATCCGGCCAAGGACTGTCACTTCCGCAATATTCTCCGAAAACCAATTCGGGGAATAATTTGCGGTTTCAACAACAACAACAGCACCGCCTTAAATCCAAAAAAATCTCCAAGAAGCGACCACATCGCACCGAAAAAGCTTTCCAAAAGCAGCCTTCCAAAAAGCAACGTCAAGCCAGCAGTCCTTTCCTACTAAAAAACTTTATGTTTTAATTTAGTTTAAGATATTGTTACTTATTGTTAGGCTTCCGATGTTGAATGTTTAAAGAAAAAACAAACAAGGATATGGGTGTGGCAGTTAACGAGGGCAATACGAAATGTCTAATGTCATCACAAAAACAGTCATCGCAATAGCGAATCCGATCCCAAGTCAATTTTGACATTCATAACATTGAAGTTACATTGAAGTTGTTGGCATTCATAACATCGTCTAGCTTGGAATAAGTATTAACATCGACAACATTGTCAGATGGAAAATCCAGCGCAAAATCACTCTTGCCAACAGGTGCTACTTTGGACTGAGTAGGCAATTGAAAAGTAAAGTCCTCTCTTGACAAACAAAGACCAAACTCTAAAAGTCGCTTATCGTTCTCGTACCAATATATCGTGCGCAGCTATCACCGATAACAACACAGAAATTTGAATGGAAATGGTTTTTCGCATTGGCAACCGCGAGTACCGCAGTCGACAGGATGAGCGGCCCGAGTTTTGCGGCGCCTTTAACACAGTCCTAAAAATCAAGTGCATAGCCGCTGCATGCTTGCTAGGTCACATGGTCCGAATAGATATGAGTACCCGTCGGAGAAGGAAAAAGAAGAGAGAGACCTACAATTAAGGTGCCGAAGGATTTGGATGCACTTGGTATTTTCAATTGGAAGCCAAACAACGAAGAGAAGAAAGGGGCGCAGTTGTTAACACTGCTGTAAACGCGTAAGCGGTGCCTACGCCAGTAGAGAAGAAAAAGTTACTTGTTTGCACACCGATGGAAAAAAATGTGTTTAGTCGAAGAAGATTAGTTCAAAACCTGTGGCACATAAGTACATACATATGAATATGTTAAAT